TCTCTCTCTCTCTCTCTCTCACCGGGAAAAAATTGTTTTCTGGGCGTAGTAAATTTTAAGAGCTTGCTGACGTTCTGCTTATAAATGTCTGTCGAGATCTGTTTCTAACTTCTGACCAATTTAAGTACCTAACTTGTACTACGAGATAAATAATAACATATACCCAAACTGATAACTACAACGAGTGTGCATCAAAATGTAGGTTTGTTCCCAGATCGGATAAAAACGTTCAAAACTTTATGTTGATTGGTGTGAGAAGGGTACAGCAGCAGGTTATTCAGCCACTGACTATATGTATAAATATCGTCACATCTTCTATACTGTCGGTTGAAGTGTAGGCGTTTGTCCTTTTCTTTCTTAATCGGAATCTATGGCTGCCCAGGTGTGTTCTTTCTAGATTGAACAGAAAAAAATATATTAAAAAACTAAGACTATAAAGGTCACATGGGCATGAAACATCACCCATCATAATTTGGTTTACCCTTTCATTTGTCCACAACTTACTGCCCCAAGCTACATATCATTGGCTTCAGAAATAGTGATTTCATCTTGAATTTTCTAATTCAATATTTTTTAGCACACTCTAGAATAATATCGGCAAAGTCTTTTCCCCTAAGATTCGACCTTGTTTGGCGTATTGTTATCAGCAGCTGATGAGGAATTAGTCTGCGTGACGTCACTGGTGCCTCGTAACGCGCACAGCACCACTCACTTTGACTTTGACACTCGCTCACGTCATGTGCTATGTGCTCCAGGGCCAGCTGGTGTTGGAAAACAAAAGGTCATACTATCACTATCAGGCTTTGAGGGTGTCCCGTGTCAGTCTTTATCGTGTGCGGGTGGTGGGCGGGTGCTCTGGTGCGATTTACTCCTAGGAGCAAACATCTATCGAGTACGTTGTTGGCGGGTGCTCTGGTGTGGTTTGCTTCGCTTCATTCCTATCAAACGTCTGTCGTCCTGATCTCCCCTTCTTCTTTTTTTATGTTTGTTACTCTCTTGTAACACCTCTAACCTTCTTTCGCTCATATAACCTTATGCAGTTTCGAGGGCCGTAAAACCTCTACTAAAACAGAACAAAAACATCTATCATACTTATCTCTCTTCGTTTGTTTGTTGTTTTTTATGTCTGTGTTTGTTACTCTCTTGTTACACTTTTAGTCTTCGGCACTTATATGATCGACCTTATTGTGTTGCCAGTGCCGTAAAACTCTTACTAAAACTAAACTTTCTCGTGCCCATGACTTGTAGAGAAAAAGACGGGGATGTTTGGGTCTGGAAAAGAAAAATGCCTGTCTATTTCTGATTCATCATCATTGCGCGCGGAATCTGAGTTGATAAATCTTCCTCTTTTTTCTCGACATTACCAAGGGAATGTGAAATCTCTCAGCCATGTCCTTTTCCTCGATGCTACAATTGAAATGTGAACTCTCGGAGTGCTGACAAAAGTATTACAAGCTCATCAATTTTCTGCTATAAATATCGTATAGGTGCTTTGCATGCATGCATCTCGTCTGGGTACATATTTTTATTTTATTATCTTTTTTTGTAATGGTATGTACATGTGGTGTGCTGTGTACTGAAAGCTGTGTCTGCAGCTGTTTTCTCTAAACGTTTCACTTCTGTGTTTGTTTTTAGTTCATGTTATATTGTTCTCTTTTTACTAATAACCATTAGTCAATTTGTGTTCTTCTTGTCTATTTCCTTGTCTACTTGTCTCTTTGTCAGCATAATGATATGTTTTTGGGCTTGTCCATTATGATACCGTCTGAGCTGTAAATACAGTGAGAATAAATTATTAGATGAATGATATGCCAGTCTGATTCATCAGAGACAAAGGGCAGAGTGAATGGGAGAGTGAGCAAAAAGGGATACAGAATGCATTCAGCTATTTT